CTTCCTAAAGCTGCGACCCTTTAATAAAGTTCCTTTTTTGGTGGTGGTGGTGGGGGGTGTTTTTTGTTTGTTTGTTTGTTTTGTTTTGTTTTTGTCTTTGTTTTTCAAGACAGTTTCTCTGTGTAACAGTCCTGGCTGTCCTGGCACTGGCTTTGCAGACCTCCAACTCACGAAGATCCTCCTGCCTCTGCCTCTCAAGTACATTAAAGGCATGTGCCACCACTGCCCCAGGTTATAACATTATTTTCATTGTTACTTCATAATTGTAAGTTTGCTACCATTATAAACCACAATGTAAATATCTGATATACAAGATGTCTGACATCCTACCACAAGGGGGTCAAGACCCACAGGTTGAGAACCATCCCTCCAAACTTTTTTTTTTTTTTTTTTTTCTTTCTTGTTTGGTGTTTTGTTTTGTTTGAAACAGAGTCTCACTGTGCAACTCTGCAGCTCTTGTTGTCCTGGAACTCTCATATTTTTTATGACTGAAATTTGACTGGATGCAATGGAAAAACCAGAACCATTTTTATTTTTTAACATGTCTACTTCTCTTTCACAAAGGAAGCTTACAGCCAGGCATGGTGGTCCACTCCTTTGATGTCAGCGTTCTGGAGGCATGCATAGGTGCCCCTCTGTGGGTTTGAGGCCAGCCTGTCTTCATAGTAAGTTGCAGGCCAATCAGGGAGACCTTGTCTTAAAACAAAACAAAATAAGTGGACGTTACCTACGCAACAATACCCAAGGTTGTTTCCTGGGCTTCTTATACATATGCACATAGGGTCCCCCCCCCCACAAAGCTGGCCTCCCCAAAACACATACATATTCATAACTACAGAACTATTTCTGAAAATGCATTATGTATTTATCAATTTGCCCAAATTTTATCTCCAGTGTAAGTTTTACTTTACAGGGGTAAGGAAAGTACCCTTTCAGCCCAACCACCAGTATACAAACAAGCTAGTTAATCCCTCATCTGATGAAGAGACAGGATTTTTTTTTAAGGCAATTGATCAGATCCTAAGTAAATGGCCATGAGCTTGGAAGTGCTACCTGTGGAGTTTCAAAGTGTCAATCATATCTGCAGTCATCATGGAAGGAACTGATGTCAGCCAATGTTATCATCTCAAATGTATTTGCAGAGGTCAGAAGAGCTGTCTGTTGTCCTCTGTGCCGAGAAGCAGTGACATCAAAGGAGCATGTCACAATCTGGTTGAGTTAGTGGATTTAAGGTAGTTTGGGAGTTTTAGCCACTAAGTACGATCTCCTGACCCCTCGGATTTACAACTTTCCACTCTCTGGGCTGCAGAGAACCCCTCCTTTTCTGAGTTAATCATTTCTTTGCCATTATCTGCCAAGAGTTCTTATCTCTCTTGCTGTCACTTTATAACAGGGTCCTCTTATCAACCTGCACAGGGTCATGTGACCAGTCAAAGCCTATTGAAGGCTTCCTTTCTTCTGATTAGAACCCATCATGAAACTGGAGACATGGTTTACAGCGGGTCACTAATGCTGGAAAAAGTACAGAGTCCAGGGGAACACAGGCTTGCACCTTTCTGAATTCTGGATTTTTCCCCCCTTTTTCTTAACTTTCACTAAGGGAATGAGGGTTACTGTAGTCTGAGGTTTCCTTCCCAGGATGACAAAATGTGACAAGCTGCAATCTTTCTCATGCTCACTGATTTCTGCTGTAAGCCAAAGGACTGCCAATAATTTCGCTAAGAATGTCTGCTAGTTCGGATACTGGGGATTTTCAAGATTTTCTTAAGCACGGACTGACAGCTATTGGTAAGTAGGAAGCCTCTCTCTATCATCTGCCTGTTTCTGCTACTCCTAGTGGATTGTGCTGTAACACACTTCTTTTCCTGTGGTAATTATTAAAAGCACACAATAAGCCCACACCTATACCATACATCTATCTTTCTTGAAGTTCAAAAAAACAAATGAGTATTTCAACACATGAATATCATTTATTGTGTCCGGTGTTTGGGGATGTCATTGTATTAGGTCAACTCTGCCAGATAATACAGGGTTTATTTTGTTTGTTTTTATTTTTCTGGACAGGGTTACTCTGTATAGCTCTGGCTATCCTGAAACTCCTATTGTAGACCAGGCTGGCCTTGAACCCAAAGAGATCCTTCTGCTTCTGCCTCCCAAGTGCTGGGATTAAAGGCATGCGCCTGCCACCACTGCCAGCAGAAAATACAGTTCTTAATCTTCTACTTCAGTCTTAACAATTTCTGATCATTTTGAATCAACCCCACTGAATGAAATTTTGAACAGTTTGAAACAAGCAAATTGCATTGATTGACCATCAACCAAATGGCCTAACAGGAAGCTTCCCAGTATTATGACATTTTAAGGTACTGGACAGTGAGATATCTCATTCACTGTGAAACTATAGAGAGAGAAAAAAATCCCCCTACCAAATCCATCATTCAAGAGAAACAAAGCCAGACTATCATTAAAAGATTCCAGGTGGGGAGGCATCATGAATGTAACTTCCTTTTATCACAGAAATAAGCACATATCCTCCCCACAAGTGGAATCTGGAGTTTGGGTACTTTCTAGACAAGTACTCTATCACTGAGCTACACACCTAATTAAGTGAAGCATCTTGGGTTTTGTTGTTTGGAGGATGATTGATGTTTTGTTTTGTTTTTGTTGTTGTTGTTGTTGGACACAAGGTTATGTTAAGTAGCCTTGGCTGTTGTCCAGGAACCTGCCCTGTGGTGATCCTCCTGTCTCTGACCACAGTGCTGGAACACACACACACACACACTCTCTCTCTCTCTCTCTCTCTCTCTCTCTCTCTCTCTCTCACCAATGTAGAGTCCCAAAGTTGGTAATTTTGCTGCAGAGATTATGTTCAGTTAATCCTAAACTAAAGACAAGGGAAGCAATCTTTAGTGACCATGACTGCTGGAGAACGCGTCCCAGGAGTAGGTTGGGACTGGATCACTGGGGTTCCGGTTTAATCCACCTACGGCAGTGATTGCTTTTTTTTTTTTTTTTTTTTTATGGTCCAGCTACGCCCCGAAGTATCTATTGAGGAAATGTTCACCAAGAAACGTTCTGTACTTAACGAAAAAGAAAACACTGGCAAGTGAGTGCCAGAGAGAGCATGTGGCTCTTCAGAGGGCAGGGAAGCTGGGCACCAGAGCTTTGCAAGCTTTGAGGCCACCGCAAACTGTGCACTCGCGCGCACGGGGAACCGCAGCGGGTGTGCGGACTCGGGGGCCAGACGGCGCGCGCCCGAGGCTCGCACCCGCTTAAGGCTACCGGGGCTTTGACCGCACAGGGCTGCTGCCCAGGACAGGGAAGGCGGGCTGTGGGACCACACACGCGGTACCCCCGCAGGGTCCCTAGCCCATAGGGCTGATTAAAAAGGGCAAGGCAGCCGGCAGAGTGCAGACCGCAGTCGAACAGGAGCTGTTTTCACCCACCGCACCAGCAGTAACGTCTCAAAGGCTGTGCTGGGACTGTGGCGCGATGGAAGCAGAACTGGTTGGTGGTGGTCAGACCTCCGAGGGGCTGCTGGGTCTTAGCCCCCCAGAACAGTACCGGAGAAGCCTCGTCCGTCCTGGACCAGCTTACACCCAAACCCCAGGCTTGCCTCGGCCCTTCAGGTCGCCAGATACAACAAACATGACAAATGTCATTAAGTTTTCCCAGAGGAGTTGGGCGGCGTGGGGGATGGGGGGAGAAGGAAGGAGGAAAGGAGGGAGGGAGGAGAGAGAGGTGGGGGTCGGGGAGAGACTTTGTCTGCACCATCATTGCAGCCATCTAGGCATACTTCTGGTATCACAGCCCCCTGGGTGGCTTGGAGGGTGTTCCCATGGGCCACATCTCAGCAGCTACAGGCACCCAGATTCGCATCTAATTACCAAGGATTACTCTAGGAGTCCTGGCAGGATGGAGCTGTCCAAAGGGCCGGTGAGGCGTCTTCAGACCAGGAACTTGAAGAGGTTGAGCCCATTCCTGAAGGAGGGGTGACCCTTTCATGAATCTTTTTCACTGCCCAGGGCAGGCCTACTGAGATGAACGCCCACCCCACCCTCGGGCAGCTACAGAGTCGGGTGCCTGGGTAGTTTTGAGATGGCAAGCTTCAGGCAGAGACTCGTTGGGGTTTCCAACCCCAACCTCAATTTAGTTGGTGTAAGCCTTGGAGGCTTGAAACACAAGCCCAGGAAGAAAAAAAAAAAAAAAAAAGACTCATGGAGAAACCAGCTGAGGCTTGGTCATGCTTTATTCCTTTATTTGACCCTTTACCTGGCCCACGGGCTGAAGTTATCTTGAATTCAGTCTTGAACTTGAGCTGAGCTAGAGACAGCCACAGGAACTGACACCTTTGCTTCATACCTGCCACCCCCACCCCACAGGGACCTATTTCTCTGTCTGACACTCCACTGATCTTCACCCTGTGGAAAGGGAAGCTTCTCTGAGATTCTTTTGGCCTTAAGGGAATTCAGGAGCTGGGAGACAGGGTCCTTTTCTTGCATGGTGTGTGTGTGTGTGTGTGTGTGTGTGTGTGTGTGTGTGTGTGTGTGTGTGTGGTGGGGGGGGGTGAGTATGAGCAACATTAGCTTCAGAGACTGTGCCCAGGAAATCCAGATAATCTGAAATTCAGCAGACAAACTGATCAATGTTATGTCTTTTTTTTTTTTAAGTATTCTTTTGGTTATGTTTTGATTGATAAGCAAAGATATCTAAGTTTTAAACTACAAATAACTTCAGCTGTCTGGTAAGCGATGTTGTCTGGGAATAATGCTATGATCAATGAGGATGGTGTCAAGCCCTACAGGATGGACAATTTAGCAGGTACTGCTCCCGCAGAGGATCTATTTTTAGTTGTCCTAGAAGGTGACTCCCTTTTGATTCCAACTCCTTATGGAAAGACAAGCTTGGGAGAAGTTAGGGGAAAGAGACAGTTATAAGTCCACGGCATGCTGCTCTCCATTCATTTGTAAAGTTTACTTTGTAAAGCCCATTTAATTCTAATTAAATTATAGACGCAGAAAGTTTGCTTGCTTAACAAAAGCTCATTGGATGTCAGCAGAGTGGGTTGTAAATAGAACCCCTGCAACGTGTCTCAAATCTGCTCCCTCTGCGATTCAGGGACTATGACTTGAAGTTGGCCAGACTTTTCCAAAAGACACTGGTAAATGGCTCTTTATATTCCTTTCAATTCTGTAATGGAAATCAGATTTGGATCCTTGTAGAATTCAAAGGGGGTGGAATGAGGAAGAAATTGGCAATAACCTCTAGGGGGGGAGGGGGTAAAGGTGATGTAAGGGAGAGGAGAAGGAACTATTGGTGGTCCTGGCCTTGGGTTACTGTATGGCTCATTGTGGCAGTGGACCCTGTCACTGCATGCCTAATAAGCTAAGGAAATTCACAGTTGTCTATGCTAGTTACAGAGTCAGTATGAGGAAGATGGGGTGCCACTTGAGTAACTGTGTTTAGAAAAAGATCTGTATTGTTTACCTCTGGAGGGTGGGGAGAGGCATAGTAACAGTTAAACAGTTTGAGTTTTTAAACACCATTGACAAACCCACTTGGCACTCCTGTGGGCAGAAATGCCGGATTCCTTGCTCAGGATCTGAACAGTGTCTTTTCCCTGACAGCTCAAGATCATCCCCTCAGAGGACCTCCATAGGGTCAAATAGAACCACCCCCTGCTAGCTAGTTCTTCTTCTTTTCTTTTCAAGACAGGGGTTTTCTGTGTAATAGCCTAGGCTGTCCCCAGTGGAACTCAGGCTGTGGACCGGGCTGGCCTCGAACTCACAGAGATCTGCCTGCCTCTGCCTCCCAAGTGCTGTCTGGGATCAAAGTCTCGTGCACCACACCCAGCTAAGAAACTTTGGAAAAGACATTACTGATTTTGTCTCAAGTCTTGTCCACTCTTTCCACCTCTATTTCTGTGGATTTTGAGACAGGTTCTCAGTTTGTAGTGAATGCTAGCCTCAAACTCCAGGCAATTCTTGTTCTTCGGACTCCTAAATTCAGGACTACTGGCTAGCCACACCTGGCCCTTATACTCCTAGTCTTTCTTTTGCGATTCTGAGGACTGCACATTGTTAGGAAGGTGATGTATCAACTAAGATGCACAGGTCCATCCCATCATCATCTGGTCACACACACACACACACACACACACACACACACACACAAATCGTCTCCTGGGTAGAGGCGTATTGACACCCTTTGAATTGTGCAGGCTTTAAAATTTTTTTGTTTATATGAGTGCTTTGCCTGTGTGCCTGGTGCCAAAGGAGGGCCTCTGATGCCCTGGGACTAGAGTTACAAATGGCTGTGAGCTGCCCTT